ATCACCACCATCATCACCACCATCACCACCATCACCACCACCACCACCATCACCACCACCATCATCACCACCATCATCACCACCATCACCACCATCACCATTATCACCACCATCACCACCATCACCACGATCATCACCACCACCACCATCACCACCACCACCATCACCACCATCATCACCACCACCACCATCACCACCACCACCATCATCACCACCACCACCATTACCACCATCACCACCATCATCACCACCATCATCACCACCATCACTACCACCATCACCACCACCATCACCACCATCATCACCACCACCACCATCACCACCACCATCATCACCACCATCATCACCACCATCACCACCATCACCATTATCACCACCATCACCACCATCACCACGATCATCACCACCACCACCATCACCACCACCATCACCACCATCATCACCACCACCACCATCACCACCACCATCATCACCACCATCATCACCACCATCACCACCATCACCACCACCATCATCACCACCATCATCACCACCATCACCACCATCACCACCACCACCACCATCACCACCACCATCATCACCACCATCATCACCACCATCACCACCATCACCATTATCACCACCATCACCACCATCACCACGATCATCACCACCACCACCATCACCACCACCACCATCACCACCATCATCACCACCACCACCATCACCACCACCACCATCATCACCACCACCACCATTACCACCATCACCACCATCATCACCACCATCATCACCACCATCACTACCACCATCACCACCACCATCACCACCATCATCACCACCACCACCATCACCACCACCATCATCACCACCATCATCACCACCATCACCACCATCACCATTATCACCACCATCACCACCATCACCACGATCATCACCACCACCACCATCACCACCACCATCACCACCATCATCACCACCACCACCATCACCACCACCACCATCATCACCACCACCACCATTACCACCATCACCACCACCATCACCACCATCATCACCACCATCACCACCATCACCACCACCACCATCACCACCATCATCACCACCACCATCATCACCACCACCATCATCACCACCATCACCACCACCACCATCATCACAACCATCACCACCATCATCACCATCACCACCATCACCACCATCATCACCACCACCAACAATCACCACCACCACCATCACCACCACCACCATCACCACCACCATCACCACCACCATCATCATCACCATCACCACCATCACCACCATCACCACACCACCATCACCACCATCATCACCACCACCACCATCACCACCATCACCACCACCATCACCACCATCACCACCACCATCACCACCACCATCACCACCACCATCATCACCACCATCACCACCATCACCACCACCACCATCACCACCACCACCATCACCACCACCATCACCACCATCACCACCACCACCATCACCACCATCACCACCACCATCATCACCACCATCACCACCATCATCACCACCACCACCATCACCACCATCACCACCACCATCACCACCATCACCACCACCATCATCACCACCACCATCATCACCACCACCATCACCACCACCACCATCACCACCATCATCATCACCACCATCATCACCACCATCACCATCACCACACCACCACCACCATCACCACCACCACCACCATCATCACCACCATCACCACCACCACCACCGCCGCCCCTCGCCGCGAAACCAAAATTGTGGCCGGCGTCGAGAGAGCGGCGGCTCCGGCAGGCGGCCGCTAAGTGAAAATTAATCACCCGTTCGTGGTGCAACCCCGCCGTTTAGTTACCCTCGTCAGGGCGAGAGGGCAGAACACTTGTGGGGAGTCATTCAAACCTGGTTTGTACTCGTACCTGGTCAGCGTGGCACGCGGCGAAGACGCTGAATGACGGTGAAGGCGTCAACGTTCAGGGTCCGCGAGACGAAGCGCGTTGACTCCGCGATGGCTTCCACGCTCCTTGTCATGTTCACCACGTGTCTTCCCTCGCTCGTCCATGGCTCACAGCAACGGATGAACATCGGAGGGGGGGGGGGTCACGAGGGATCTCATCGCGGTGACGAGGCCGTGGTGCCGAGGCGAGGCCGTCACGGCCTGAGAGGCAGCCCTCTTGGTTTTCTCACCACAAATACCGGAACCCATAAAGCGAAATTTAAGCTCCGGTAATTATTTTGGGTTAATCATTATCATGACTATTATTCTTCACGAACGGTCTGCTCACGCGTGCCACGCTCGCGGCCTATAGTGCCTTCTCCATTCCGCGCAGGGGGTCACAGCCGCCTTCACCTTGCACTCCTGATCTCATGATGCCTTGCAGCAACGATAACAACACAAAGTTGGAGCAGTTTCCTTATCAAACGAGCTGTTTTGGCGGTGTTCGCCTACCGTTCACAGCCCTGGGCCGGTGGTGGCAATTCCGCGTTCCTATGGTGGGGCTGAGTCTATCCCAAAGGAGAAAAAAACTGGCGAATTCCAGACAAGAGTGGTGCTCACGTTATTGAGCCCCGGGGGGATGATGGGCTGAGTCATCACCCAGCCAGGGTTTCTCATTGAACGCTGGACCAGGTGGCTCGGCTCGAGAGCGAGTGGCTTGCGGTCGGAAGGTTTGCGAGTTCAGATCTTGAACCGCGAGGATCTGGCTGTAGTGGGTCAGGCATAACCGGGGAATTTTCCCTGAAGTGTACAAATGCAGGGGGTGGGAATCCGGTGAAGTTCCTCATTCGTGCTGATTTTGGGGGGCGCTATTGACGCATCATACTATCCGCGTGCAGCCAAGAAATGAACTCCCCTGTATCCATGCGGTCACATGAGTATGAATGTGGATAATAGGATGCATGTTTCTGCAAACTTTTGGGCAACTCCTCTTACCCGTGAAAATGGCAGGATTTCAGATTTCGCGTGTAAATATTTCTCCACAGCAGTTCACACCTCCCAGCCACTTCATTAAACATGCATCAGACTATGCACGTGCGCGTCTGCGAGTGCAGCTTTATGAATTAAACATCCGTAAATAAAACTGCCTACTGGTTAACCTTTGCCTGTGCGTGACCTGCGCTCCGTGGTACAGACACCGATTCGGCCGCAGCTATGAGCACAAGCCTCCGGGCATGCGGTATATTTCGTGAAAAGCCCCGTCGGATAAGATACCCACTCTGAATCGTAAACACAAAAAAAACCGCTGGCATTCCCATTGAGAACGGTGTCTTCGTGATGTTCGGGCATTGATTAAAGCTCATCAATCATCACCATCAGGCAAGCCAAGCTTGATCGCCCCATTTGTTGGAAGGCTTGTCCATGCTTACCACGCACTCACGTCCTTAGTCATAATACAAGTGCTTTATCTAAACGGGCTGTGGCATTCCGCTCCTTGAGTCACAGTTGGGGGAAGTGGCCTGTTCAAAATCCGGCCGGTGAATGGCTCGGCCTCTCGGCCCTCTGGGATCAATGTGCAGCACTTTGAGAGGCGTCCACAGATATCCTGTAGTCAAGAACACAAAAAATAAGGTGCAGCTCTGCGGTGTTTCTATTCAACTATTAAACTATTTTATTGGTCCAGCTAAGGCCCACTGAGCTGTATAGCTCTTTTTCAGCAGCGGCCTGGCTATCACAAATGACAGCTCAACGAAGTGGCTTATCACGCGGAAATTTATTGCGGCCAAATATTCTTAACAAACCTTTCTAAATGTGGAGGGAAAAACCGGAGGACCCGGAGAAAAATCCACGCGACCACGGGGGGAGACACACGCAAACTCCAAATATGCAGCAGGCGTGAATGGAGTCATTGTGCTTATGCGATGTAGAATGTTACACATCAGAATTGGATCTGATGGAAGCCTGGAGTTTGTACCCAGGGTCTTCAACAGTGGCGCCTCAGTGCTCTGGCAAGGATACAACTCCAGTCAGTGCTGCCGTAGCCACCTGGCCACCCCCGATGATTACAGGTATCGTGTGTTTTGTATCACCGATCTGCCAGGTGCGCCGTTATTGTAAACCATGCCAGAGCACGTGACAACTGCCATCCACAACTCTCGAAGCCGGCGCAAACTTCGCAAAAGGGTGCCCCCTGGAAAGATGATCGCACGAAAAACCCACTGCTTGCCAACGAATCCATTGAGCAGCGCACCACCGACGTGAAAGAGCCGGCACGGAAGACCCCCCACCCCCCCCCCCCGGGCTCCGATCTTCCGCAAAGCATCTGGGACACATCCCCAAAAAACCGCGTCCACAAAACGAACCGTGGCGGCAGCGGCGGATGCGGATACTCGACGCACAAACGGAACCTTAAAATAAATCGCGACTGTGGTCACCCGGAAACGACCGCGAAACATAGAGCGTGGACTCAATGACCGATTCGCAAATACGAAGAAGGCATCGATGCACCGCTCCGCTACTCCGGACGCGATCGTCCGGCTCAGCCGCCTTCAATGTGCAATTATAATTGTTGCTCTGCATCAAGATCGGCCGCCGGACAACTAAGAAGGTCGACATTTGGGAGGCTCTTGCGATTAACAAAGAGTCACGTGGCGTTCTGCTGCTGCTGACGTGCGTTCGAGTGTCCAAGACGTTCGATGGCCAACAACAATCGTTTATTATTATTCAGAGAGAACAATGCATGTATATTTTACCCATAATGCTCCACAACAACACATACTGATTAATAATAAAGGTTTTTGTCGGTTAGATCGCGTAAGTATAAATGTGTCGTAACCCTCCACCACCACACAGCCAATTAGTAAGGGATTTGTCACGTAAACATAACCCCAATTAGTTACTAGTATAGTGTAGTGTGTAATGTAGTGTATAGTGTAGTGTACTACTTCAGCCCACCGATGTGTTGGAGAGTAAATCCACAGCATTTACAATTTAGGTAGTACGACGTTTCGCTGGTAATTACATCAGCCAGCATCATCGGGCAATTTGCCAGAATAGTGAAGCCATCCACCTGATTCCGGTCTTAAATAGAGCAGCATGGTGATGTCAACACTGAACCCTAACCCAAAAACCTTTATTATGAACAATATTATGGAACCTCCTTTGCCAGTACCAAAATAATGTACGTGAAGATCTTAAGATCGTAACACCTGTTTGTTGCCAGAAAAAAAATGGGAAAACCTATTCTCATTAATAATATTGGTCGCGAAAGCCTACGTGTTAAACTAACACAGACTGAGTTTCTATACAGTACTTGATTTAAATGGTTCACTGTATGTCAGACATATGAACAAAATGAAGGCACTTTAAGTGTGAACTTGTGTGTGTGTGTGTGCGCGCGTGTGACCCGGGTAAGACCATCAACTCGCGTCGCTCCAGAATCTGGTTTCATCACGGGTGGCTGCCCAGATTAAACCCCCGGGATCTCGACGGTTCCCTGACATTGCCGTTGTGAGTCTGTGGAGCAGCCCCAGTGGCAGCACTGGGCCCAAGGCAAACCCCAAGCAAAAAAAACACACGCCAGGGCCTCAAGCAGCTCAAGGGGGAAGATGTGGGTGCGTCAAATATCAGCTATATATGCAAATCGTAAGTAACGCAACACTGCGATAAGCATAACGTGCAAATGAATCGCCCTCATCTCTACTGGTGCCTGCATCTCTCCCCCGCCCCGTCCCACATTTTTCTTATCTCGCCACATCTCTGACTCTTGCTTCTTGCGATGACGCGCATTGAAGTTATTAATTTCTTCATCGGGCACACCGCCCTCGTGAGTTGGCAGACGATTCCGTCGGGACCACTTCAACTCCGCACCTCAAATTATCGCGGTTGGCTACGTACGGTGCGGAAGAAGCTCTGCGTAAATGCATACATACTCGGAGCCCTTATTCTGAGCCCCTCCACCCACAGACTGAACCACCCCACAGCCAAACAGCGCGAAGCATGAGACCGAGCTACGAACTATCCACGCCGCCACCACCAGCGCCAGTGAAGGAGAAAACTTCCCCACTCCACCAGCCGCCCCGCCACACACGCAGAGAGAGAGAGAGCGAGCGAGAGAGAGAGCAATTGCCCATTTTTAAACTCCGTCGTTAGCAGCCTTTGAGAGGCCGCTATCAAACATGCGAGGCGTTTAAAGAGCGAGGGAGTAAAAGCAGCGAACATTCGGTGCTCTTCACTGTGCGTACAGCAGCAGCAGCATGGGTCATCAGTACCCAGAACGCCCCATTAAAAGAAGAGGGAGGAGGGCATCGTGACCCGGCGCAGCATATTGTTTGTGCGTAATGGGAAAAAAAGCATTAAATGTAGTGGTTGGCTGGTTGGTGGTGGTGGTGGTGGTTCGAGCTTCAAAGAATACCTGGGGTATCAATGTCAAAGGTACGTGATGTATTGTGCCGGGTGGCTGTTAAGGGTGTTTGCGAGAGCACGGAGAATATAAATGCGCGTAGTGTTTCGGCAGAAGGGAGAGGGAAATAAAATTGAGCAGCGCCGGCTCCGGATTGGTGTTTTGTTTTTGATGTTTTGGGTCGTAAGCGAGTGGTTTTATTCGGCACGATGTCCGACGTTTCACTCCGCATGACGGGGAGGTTATCTTCTCACCCAGGCGCTGTACATAACTGGGTATCTGGGTACATCCCTGGCTACGCACTAAAGGACGTGATTCCCATTTTCAAACGAATGCAAACGAGATCAGAAAATCGAGCTTCGATGCGATGTGAAATTTCGCACAATCCTGGATAAAAAAAATCGCGCATCGGATCGACCTGAAATCACGATGTCAACCAAACATGACGGCACTTTCACTCCGCCTCTCTATGCGCTGTGAAGAAGGGACATTGCCCGAAACGTTGCGCTAAGTGTCGTTAATAAATGTCGACTTTTTTTTGTTAACCGTTCTGGTGCTCCACTGCCAACGCAGCAGCAGCAGCAGCATCGCCACCACCACCACGACCACCAAGCAGCTTGTTTACTTCTGCAGACAACAGCTGCCAACCAAACCTCCTCCTGCCTTTAAAGACGTCCGCGTGGGATGCGGCCACGCCCTCTGTGTTAGCGACTGCGCCTCTGCGTGGCCCCTCCAGCGAAGCCGAGGCACTCGGCTGTCGCGCTCCCAGGAGGAGGCAACGTGAGAAAAAAAAAGTGTGGGACACTGTTACCAGATCTAGAGATCAAAAAAGCGTCTACAGACTGCGGGGGAAACAAAAACAAAAACCATCGGAACTTTATGGGAAGAGGCGGACAAGTGGACAAATTCAGTTGCACAACGTTCCACTGCAGGAATCGTCAACCAATCTCAAGTTCCAACATTCTATATCTTTTTTTTAAACGGGGAAATAGTTTATAGTTTTTTTTTAGTTTTACCACTTGCAGGCCACTGTTGCTGCATTCCCCTTGTGCCTTATAGCTGCCACGGGGGGGTAATCCTTGGCTAGACTGCAAGCATGGCATGGGGATGGTTGAGATGTGATGATGTCAGGAGCTTTGAGTCTCCGAAGCATTCATAAGCACCCTGTAAATGCAAATCCTTATCGTTAAAATGTTTTATAATAATTCTTTTTTAAAAAAAAAATACTCCCACCGCTGATTGTAAACGCAAGCGAAAGACGCTACCACAGCAGACAATGAATGCTTGTCGCAGCACGCCAGCACGTTCACTGCCGGTCGGACAATGCCACGAGCCTCTGGCGTCGTCACCAGGGGGTTGAGTTCCTGCACCAGCGCACCGCGCTGCCGCTTTTAAAAGGCGCTTGCTGGTGGGGCCCCGTCACAGGGATCACGTGGCCAGACATCTGAAATGGAAATCCGTCTGCAAATTAATCATTTGGTGATGCTGCCTTCACGTGTCGAGTTTGGTTGCCGCGTGCACAAAACGCAGCAAACAAACCCCACACAGTCATCAATGACGGCGGCCTTTTAAGGAACAAAAATAAATATATAGGTAATAGGCGACGTTTTGGGGAATGGGCCTTCATCAAAATTACATTTGAGCTCGCTTATAAAAATTAATGCTCATTTAACAATATACATTGTTGCCAACCATCCGAAATCGTCTTTTGTTTGTTTTCTTCATGCGACCTCTAGATGGAGGCAATGTCTCTCGTCTGGCAACACGGCCGTGAAGTCGCGGGGCAGGCTGCGCCCACGGAGGATGACCGAGATAAAGGGGGTAGCGGTGGTGGTGGTGATCTCGTCAAATAAAGCAGTGGGTCGGAGGGAGTCGATGCATCCCCATATATGCAACGCTTTGAACCCCTATGACCCTGACCTTGAGGGGCCCGGCCACAGCACTGTGCGGTCAGAAGGCACGCAAGCTGACTTGACATGGTCAGCAGCTTGCCACAGCCCATGCACGCCGTTCACCCGTGTGCCTTGCTTACAGGGACAGCTTCCGCCGGGGGATCCCCTTGGCTGGACTATGCAACGGCCCTGCCGGCGCCGTGGACGCATTGGGCAATGTCGAATGGGATGCTCGTGGCTGTGCTGTGCCTCCTGGGGAACCCGTCCCCCCAGAAGCGCAGAGACGCCACGACACCCCCCACCGCGGCGAAGGGCCAGGGCAGCAGAAGCAGCAGCAGCAGAAGTAGAATCAACAGCAACGGCAGAAGTAGAATCAGCAGCAGAAGTAGAATCAACAGCAGCAGCAGAAGTAGAATCAACAGCAGCAGCAGAAGTAGAATCAACAGCAGCAGCAGAAGTAGAATCAACAGCAGCAGCAGAAGTAGAATCAACAGTAGCAGAAGTAGAATCAACAGCAGCAGAAGTAGAATCAACAGCAGCAGCATAAGTAGAATCAACAGCAGCAGCAGAAGTAGAATCAACAGCATAAGTAGAATCAACAGCAGCAGCAGAAGAAGAATCAACAGCAGCAGCAGAAGTAGAATCAACAGCAGCAGCAGAAGTAGAATCAACAGCAGCAGCATAAGTAGAATCAACAGCAGCAGCAGAAGTAGAATCAACAGCAGCAGCATAAGTAGAATCAACAGCAGCAGCAGCAGAAGTAGAATCAACAGCAGCAGAAGTAGAATCAACAGCAGCAGCAGAAGTAGAATCAACAGCAGCAGCAGAAGTAGAATCAACAGCAGCAGAAGTAGAATCAACAGCAGCAGTAGAAGTAGAATCAACAGCAGCAGAAGAATAAGAAGCAGCAGCAGCAAAAAAACATCACCAGCAGCAGCAGAAGCAGCAGCAGCGAGCGGGCCCACCACCGCTCCACAACCCGAGCCTGTTCTCTTTTGAGCATCGAGAATAAGCCAGCCGTGCACCTCATGCCAAATGGCCACGATGCCTTCCTCTCCATTGCCTGCACGCAGCACTCGCCCGCCTCTCTGCCACGCCACAGACGCACGTTCTGCCCGCGTGCGCAACAATGCAATCGTTTTTTTTATTTTGTTTTAAAGCGCACAGGTCAAACGTGGTGTTAATCGTCACGACGACGACGACGATTAACGCAACGAAATAAAAAAAGCATTCAATTACCGCACGGCGCATGAATTGTTGCGGGCAGCGATGCACGCGCGCGCCGCGCGAGGGCTCAGGAGGAGGAGGAGGCGTCGTGAAGACGCTGACCTATTTTTAGACTAATGGATGCTCTCTCTTTTTTTTTGAGGACAGAACGTCCAGGGCATTGACACTGTCGCAAGCGAGACCCACCACCCCCTCCTCAAAAGCGCTGTTGCGAGCCCTGCGGTTTGGGCTTCCCGCTTCAGGAGCGGTGTTGTTTGGGGTGGGAGGGGGGGGGCAGAGCTCTGGGAGCCCCGCAGGAAGTAAAACGACTCCGGGTTTAGGGGGGGCAGGCGAGCGGCTGGGGGGGGGGGCAGCTCTGCCTGGCGTTCGCAAGCGAGCAGACGTGTGGGCGGGGGGGGGGGGCGAGCGAAACAATACAGGCTGTCAAAGTGTAAATAATAATAGTGTTAAGAATAATAATAAAGTGTGAATAATAATAAAGTGTGAATAATAATAAAGTGTTAATAATAATAATAAAGTGTAAATAATAATGTGTTAATAATAATACTAAAGTGTAAATAATAATAAAGTGTTAATAATAATAAAGTGTTAATAATAAATTGTGAATAATAAAGTGTTAATAATAAAGTTTTTATAATAATAAAGTGTTAATAATAAAGTGTTAATAATAATAAAGTGTTAATAATAATAAAGTGTTAATAATATTAAAGTTTTATAATAATAATAAACTATATTCTTGGTTCTTTCGGTAAAGTGACGTAGAAGGGAAACAATAAAATAATATTTTTTTTTATAATTTGAGGCTGAGTCGACCTAGGGGAGGCCCAGGACCGGCTCAAAGTATTCTACGTGACTCTACCGAAAGAACCAAGAATATGAATCCCTGCAGTCACGAAAGCTTTAAATCAAATTTTAATAATAAACTGTTAATAATAATTTAAAAAACACTGCCCCGACCTCTCTACTCCCCATTGGCTCACCACCCTCACCACCAGCCCCACCCTCACCACCACCACACCACCAACAACACCCTCACCACCACCAACACCCTCACCACCAGCCCCACCCTCACCACCACCACACCACCACCAACACCCTCACCACCACCACCGCCACACCACCACCCTAACCAGCACACCAACACCATCCTCTCCACCACACCACCCTCACCACCACCACACCAACACCCTCACCACCACCAACACCCTCACCACCACCGCCACACCACCACCACCCTCACCAGCACACCACCATCCCCACCACCACCACCACACCACCCTCACCACCAGCACCACCCTCACCACTACCACCCTCACCACCACCATCCTCACCACCACCACCACCACACCACCCTCACCACCAGCACCACCCTCACCACTACCACCACCCTCACCACCAGCACCACCCTCACCACCACCACCACCACACCACCACCAACCTCACCACCACCACCCTCACCACCATACCACCACCACTGCGTCTCAAATAAAAAGCAGACGCCAAATAAGGTCTGGCCAGAAACAATATTTAACCCGTTCGCCTTTCACAAAGACAAAGATCCCTCGTATAGCGTTCAGCATTCTTTTAGGGCAAGGGCACTTCGCGGCCGGCTTCAAGTGAAGGTCGGCACGGCACACGAGGCCGCCTTTGTCACCCAGTGCTGTTGTTTTTACGCACCGTGCCAGGTGCTCATTTGAGGCTGAGTCGACCTAGGGGAAGGCCCAAGACCGGCTCAAAGTATTCGCCACTGGTGTTGGGTCGTGAGCGTGAGTCGAGGTCGGGGTGTGCCGTGCTCGGAGCGCAGTGCGCTAACCACTGCGCCACCATTCCCCCGTGGCCTTGGCACGCGCGCGCGCAATGCCTGTGTCACGTCCCCGCTAATGCCATGTGCACGTTGTATGTGCTGCTATTGTTCTGTTTACAATGCGTGCAAGTATTGTTTTTTGCTGTGACGCACTGTAGGCGCTTGCAGATTGTAGGCACGTGTCAACGCGTGCGACGCGTCAGTGTCCGCTGTGCATTTAATGCCCTTCTCGGGTGGACACGCATCGTCGATGTAAGGACTCCCACCGAGTCGAACACGTGGTCCTCCATGCGATAGAAGTAGCTACGGGGCGCGTCTCCCGACTCACACCGAGACCCGGAGCGCGTTGCTGAGGCCACTGCGAGACCTCACGGAGGCCTCCGCGTTGCCGCTTGGCCCGCGAGCGTGGTTCGATTCGTTGCATCATCGCGGGATGGTGGGGGTATGGCGACGGCTTGGGGAAGGAAGCCTTCATCCAGCAGTGGATTGAGCATGGCGGGACGATAGCGATGATGATGATGATGATACATGTCCACATTGACCAGTGTGTGTGTGTGTGGGTAGCGACTCGCATGCCCAATGCTTCCTAATTCAGTGGCAATCATGAAGCAGTGCGAATATATCAGCGTGTCCATGGCCACGGCTACCATCAGTGGCGGTGTCTGATCCAACCTGCGCTGACCGGCCGTTGCGAAGTATGGTCAAACAAACTTCGGTGACCGACGGAGCACGAGGAGGCCTTCGTCCAGCGGTGGATGAAACGAGAGACTCTGAAGACGAATCCTTCGTATTATCCGCACTTCTCTGCGGATGAGAGGAGTGACCCCCAGAAGTGGCTGCATAGTCACCCCCGATGATCCGCATTTATCCGCGGAGAGCTGCACGGATAACAGGACTAAAGTCACAGACACAAGTGTGGACAATTGGATCAGCCAATAACGATACCCCCCCCCCCCCCCCAATCACCGCGCAGAAGATGAGTTCCCCCCCCCCCCCCCCCCCAGTGTATCGCATTTCCTGCTGGCTGTGGCTTAAACAAGTTTGAAGTGTAAAGATCTCGGTGCTATTCTCTGCAGCGTGAGCTTTTATTGAAGCTACATTTCCCTCTGCCCACCAGTCTGGGGGGGGGGGGGGGGGGGGGGTGAGAGGGGTCCATGCGTTGTACTGCGTGTGCTTGAAATGGAGAGCATAAGCTCGTTCCTTGTCTGGACGCCTTCATCTGTATTGTCACCATGACTCTCCCGCCGTATTCGGAGACCACATTTACGAATTTTGACAGTTTTAGAAGCCAAAATCCCACGCCGCTGTCCCGCGTCGTCTGCGCGCTTCGACGAGGCAAGTCTGCGTACTCGGTAGCGGCGATGGCTACGGGCGTGGCCTGTTCACGGAGCACTGTGGAGGCAGCGGGGGTTGATTGATCACGCGAATGTTGTTGTCGGGACGATCCTGGCCGGTCGTCTTCCCGCAAGTTGGTGCCGACGACGTTGCCACTCGCTCGCGTTGCACTCGATTGTATTTGGACGACGTCATTCCGAGATCAGCTGCTGCTGCTGCCTTCTCGCTCCTATGGTGACTCAGCGGCTGGTGCGAGGCGTAAGCGAAACTGAGTAAAGCTCAGGGCTCCAAGTAGCCCAAGGGGTCCCGAAGTCATACAAAAAAAACATTGGGGTAGCACCAAATATCAGCTCGAACTGAGATCCTTCTAAATAAAAACGCTTATCATTCAAATTACACCAGCACATTCATTGTAACGAGTCTATTGCCATTATCTGGCACAACTGCAATATAAAAACTTGCGTAGCCTGTCCGTCGCGTACTGTTCGCGGTGGTGCGAGACACCGACAAGATTGTTTGATTAGGGGACCCCAAATCGACGCTGGCCTCACCCACGGATGGTGCCAACGCTCTGATAATAGGGCCACCTGCATATGTAAGGTGATCAGTGCTCCACATTACCAACAATGCAGGTTGGGTTTCTGTGGTAACAGCTCCACGGCCGGCCCCACGCTCCCAAGAGCTGTCTACAAACAACACTCGCTTTGTTTCCCGCTCGTGAGTTTTGTCATAGCTCGAGTTATAACCGTGGTCTTCTTTTTCAAGGCACGTGTCCACCACGCAGCCAAATGGTGTTACTCCACTTTAAAATGCACCAGGGTCGTACCTCCAGCGGGGTGAGACGGGCCTGATGACGGTATGGATGGTAGGGCCCTAAACATTCTGAAGTGGAGTTGTGCCATTTGGCTGTGTGGTGGACACGTGCACGGGAAAAGAAAGGGAACTTGAGTGAAATTTCTCCCCCCGAAACCGTTTGGCGGCATTTTGGTTTTAGAACAATACCTGAGCTGGGGCTTCACCGCAGTTAGCGGCCACATACCGTAGTTTTAGAATGTTTATGATGTTGCTGCTGTGGATTGACGCGCGATAAGCCACTTCGTTGAGCTATCATTTGTGGCCAGGTGCCATCTGAAAAAGAGGCTCATGGCTCGGTGGGTCATACCTAGTAAGATTAAAAAAAAATAGTTTAGTTTTATTTGTACATATTTTAAAGTCTTTTGATTTCCTTGCATAAAAATGTGCATTCCTATCATGCTTTTGTATCATTATTATTTGTTGTTTGTTGTTGGAACGTTCTGACGTGCATCTGTGAAAAGGAGCTTCATAGCTCGTCGCATTCCTCCTGCAGTATAAATACATCTGAGTTTGAAACGATTAATAATGACGCCCGTTTTAATCACGCGCTGTATTTACCTGCGGTGACACTGAACAGCGAGCTCTGCTTACGCGTCTGATTTTCGTGTTATGGGGGGGGGGGGGGGGGTGGTGGGGGGAGAGTTATTTTCTAGGGGCCGCCCTGTGAGGCCACACAAAACAAGTCGGTGGAGGGGGGCCTCCCTGGGCCGCTCGCTCCGCCGTGCCCCACGCCGCGCGCTGCCGCCTGTTGGCACGGTCGAGACTCACGGTGCGGCCAAGTGCCCGCGGCGGGGGAGGCGGGGGGACGCTTTTGCCGGAGATTAAATCGGCCGGGGGCCCCGCTCGCCGTTTGCCATTGACCTCGAGACGTCGCTTCGAGGGAAGCCGCGCGACCAAAGCGTCGGGACCAAGACGGCTTGAGCCAAAAACGAGGGGGTCCGCTTCGATCTGCTAGCGGCAGACGTGGGGGGGGGGGGGGGGCGGGGGGGTGTCACGTGGGGTGGTGTTTCCGACTCGGCGCGGTGGAAGAACTCCAGGGGTCTTACCTCGAGCTCGCCGCTTCGAGGAGTCTGGCGATATGAGAGCAGCTTCCCCAAGACTCTTCGGTGAGCCGCGTGTGGTGATCGCATCCGTACGGCAGCGAATGTGCCACTGGAAGAAATCCCGTATTATTATTATTATTGTGGTGGGTGGGTGGGCGGGCGGGCGGGCGGGTGGATGCAGTCTCTTTTTTTGGACAAACAAAACAAAGGAGACGGCTAGCTTAGACATATTAGACAAACGAGACAGATTAAAACAAGCAATGCCAATGAGAGAGACGATATAAACAGGACCGGCATCATCAATGAAACAATACAAATGAGAGGGCACAGCTGAGATAAAAACATAACTCTTGAATCATGGCATTGAATCAATGAACTCGTTCATTAAAACACCCGCTGGGTGGGGTAGGAGCGGGCGGGGCTATGAATACGCTGGTAAACTATCCATAGCATCGCCTCGATCGCATCTCACCACCACCACTCGCTCCACTAAACTATTGGGCTGATTCTCACCATCGGAGTTTCGGGTCAGCGTAGGGACAGCCCGACGCTCCGGTCGAATCCCACCGAGCGATCCGAGGCGGATTTTTTAAATTCCACTCCCCACCCCCCACCCCCAGGTGCGGTCGACGGGACTCATTGTGAAGAAGGGTGGCTTGTAATACGAGAGCAGCCGTCAATCACTGCGCCTCCATCGGTGAGCACGTGACACAGCCGCGATTTCAAAGGGCCGCACGGTGGCCCGGGATTCTGTCGCGTGGGATCCGTCTGAAATCACAACACTCATCCTGGAGACCGAGAACCCAGCCGTTAGACCCCCCCCTCCCCCGTGTCGCTCTCATTCCTCGCCATTACATCGAATTAGCACGGTTGGATACGTACAGCGAGAAAGAAGTTAAACGTAGATTTGAAGCTTTCGTGACTGCAGGAATCCATACTCTTTGGTTCTTTCGGTAAAGTCACGTAGATAGAAAATATTTATTTTAAAATATTCATTTTCTATCTACGTTACTTTACCGAAAGAACCAACGAGTAAGTTCAACGTACACGTGAAACGTCCCCTATGATGCCGAATGTAATTAGTATTTGGCTTTTATGGTAGTTCTTCAACTTATATCGTAAGTGTAGTTATTACTATTATTTTCAGCTTTTACTGGCGCTCGATTGTACCTTATCTAAAATTACCGTGTTTTAATGTACAGTGATTTGAGATATTTTAATTGAAGGTGCTTTTTAAAATAAAGATTATTATTAATTGAATAAATATATCTTAACATGGTAATCCCTCCTGTATTACAGTGCAATGAATTATGGCCTCGACAGAAACTGGGTTGCATTTATTTTATAATGTAGAAATGGGCGGTCAGTCAGTCAACGGCAAAGGGAAGAAAAAAAACCCTTGGCGCTAGAGCCTGGAACTAAACACGGGCAGGGAGTCGACAGCACAGACGGTTGGTGGTGGAAAGTTCCAGATGATGAAGAGAGTGCGCGACCTCCCACCGAGCAAATGTTGACCCTGGCGGCTTTCAACTGAAAGCTTTTGGTTGCTGGAGTCGAGACTGCGTGGTGGGATAATTATAATAGGCGATGGTTCGGGTCACAGCGGCAAAGTTCTCAGCCAGGCCTGGGGATTCTCACCCAAATCCTCCCACTTCGACCCAAACCCACGCCGACTGGCTCGCGGTGAAGTATAGTCGAAGAATCCACACGGCTTAACTCCGGTACTGGGGAGGGGGCCTTCATCCAGCAGTGGATCGCCAACTCGCTGCGAACATCGCTGGCCCCGTGGCAGCAGGATAAGTCGAGCCTATATATATATAAAAAATATATATATTCAACAAATACAACCGCAATAATTCGGCCCAAGCGATGTGCTCATTGTTTGCCAGGATTTCCTGAATACGGCAAGGCACGGAAGCAGGAAATAGTATTACCTTCCTCAATGAGCCCCTGGCCGCAGCCTCGGCACAAGAGCCGTTTATTTGTCGAGTTTCCTCTTCCTGCCATTAAAAATTCTGCCACACAGCACACGCGCCCTTCGACTTGTGCCTCGCAAGTCGACTCTTCCGTTCGTGTAGCCTTGGCGCTCATTAAAACAATGATCACATTGTTTGTTTCGTTCGCCGTCACATCTTGACATAACGGGAGTAGCATAAAAGTCACGCTGCCCTGATAGCGTAATTGGTAAACTTAATTTAAACGAGGAGAGGGAGAGTGAGATAGCTCGTTGGGAATGCACTGTTTGTCCTGTCAAGTTGCTGTGCTTGTGCTACAGAGGTGGGGTTGCTGTATAGGAGCATCGTCTACAATCTTTCATGCACAGCACTATGAGGTTGTCTGTATACAGCAGTGCAGAAAATTGGTTGCTGAACTATCTCTGAACAACATCTGCTGTATATGTGTACAATTGCATCCATTTTGGGTGAAGGCGATTGTCCAGGTGGCTTGGACTTCCTCCCACGTGCCAAATGTTTGCGGGTTGATGGCCGAAACCCAGATGTGAAAATGTTGATCTCAACGGTGGTGGCTCAGAGGCCTGACCTTTGAACCACCCGACCTCCCGATCTCCCTCCCCCAGGCGTAAGCCCTCAGTGGGCCCGACTCTCCCGTCAACTCAGAGAGGAAGAAGTCGACGGAACGAACGAGCGAGGGAGTGGAAAACTAAAACGGGAACTTCTCGTGCTCCGCTAAGATGCCGCGTGATTTTTTTTTCTATCCAACCGAGTGAGAGAACCCGAAGAGATACAAACAACTGTCGATTCACATTCTCAAATTGGCATTTAAAATGTGGAGACCACAACAAAGTTACAAAAGTCAACGCTTACCAGTAATAGAGCAACACACATTTGTGCGTATTGATTCCCGAAGTGAAAGATCGAGGAAGTCACAGGTGGGGGCACCATCATTGGGTGGCCACTTATCTACCATGTTTATGAGACACTCCTCACTGGATTGTAAAGCAAAAGTTGTGGGTGCATGTTAATATATCCGGTCGCTGTGCACGCGCGAGTGTGAGACCAAAATTGTAGAAGTTTTACTGATACCTGGGAGGATATTTTTGGGCGACTCTAACTTTCTGTAACATCTTAGAGTCAAGAGGCTTGGGGTACCCGTTGGACTTGAACAACTGATGCTCTGTAGGAGAGCAGGCGTCTCTCATAACAGGAATGTGGAACTTTCACCACACCAGCACGGGAGATGACCACCGCAACCTCCCGATTAGCACGGCTGGCCTACGCACCGTGCGAAATAAGTTCGACATGCATGCAATGATGCAAGTCACGAGCTCAGATCACAACTAAGGGGAATTCATCCATCCCAGCATCCTCACCATTCCTCCGGGGTGAGTAAAAGTGAGTTCCAAGCTAACGGGGGCCTGCGTCACCCCCACCTTCTGGTGAAAAGTCTTTAGACGTTGGCCTCTACGTGCCGGTGCGACAGAAGTTCGACGCGCATACACCCCCCTCCCCTACCCCGCCAGCCCCTCCTATGCTCACTGGAGCAGCATGAGATCGCCTTGGCCCTTGTCGACTCGTCCGCGGTCGCTGAATGTTTAATGCACCTTGTTCCTGAACAACGGCGCGGGGGGATTACCCCGCGACTTTAAACCGCAATGTTCCGCGCGCCCGATAATCGCCACGAGGCACAACGCGGTCCCGGTGTTGGCTGCGTGGCCCCGGGTCGTGGCGGCCGGATACAATCGGCGAGACCTTTGTAAACAGCTCGCCTACAGAGGATAACCTCCCCCTGTTTCCTGATGACGACCGCTGGTGTTGCGATCAAAACGTCGTGATATTTTTTAATCACTTTATTTTTTTCTTCTTATTATTTTTTTTCTATCTACGTGACTTTGCCGAAAGAACCACAGAATACGAGGGGTTCCGCCTCGGAAACACAACGCACTTTTAAATGCCATTTAACCGTCACTTCTGTCAGCAGCCCTTCGTGCGAGACGTAATATTTTGGCTCCGACTACCTGCACGGGTTGCTGGTGCCTGCGAACGGACATTCAGTCCGAGGAATATTAAACAGGGGGTTGCTTGTGGGGCAGCACGCGGAGGAGGAGAAGGTGTGCGCGTGCCCGTGTGTGTGTGTCTGTGTGTGCCTGGGTATTTTGTACCATCGGGCACTCCACCCCCACAACTCCCAAATCGGTGATGGGGCAGTTGTGGAGAGAGTGGAGAGTTTCCCATACCTGGGCAGTGTGCTCATGACCGGCTCCGGTTTAACAGCAGAGATCTCACTCCGAATCAGTCGAGCGGCATTATCGTTTCGTCGGTTGCGTAACGCTGTGTGGAAGCTACTTGGCCTGTCGCTCCGCCACGGTCATTCCCTCCCTTCTTTGCGCTTGCGAAACGTGGACCCCCCTAATGGAACATCTACGCCGGGTAGAAACATTTAGGCTGGCCTCCTTACGATCAATCCTGGGTTTAACCAGGCTGGATTGTTTGAGGAGCTCACAAATCCTCGAAAGATCTGGACAAAGTCCCGTCGGTGAGCACCTCTGGCAGGAAAGGCTGCGTTGGCTGGGCCATGTAGCCCGCATGCCCAATCACCATATGCCTAAACAGCTTTTGTTCGGCCCGATCGAGAGGGCTAAACGGGCGCGACACGGGCTAGAGAAGAGATGGAGTGACGTGGTACAGGAGGATGTGGAGCTGAGTGGACTTGCCGATGACTGGTACCAGCGGTGTCAAGATCGGCCTCTGTGGAGAAGGCTCGTGAAGGACGCTACTGGGCAGATGGAGGCAGTCGCCCTCCAACAACAACAGAGGGCGGAGGAGCGATGCTCACAACAACGAGCGGAGCGCCGGGTGGCTAAAGCACAGCAAGTTGGCAGAGTAGGGGGCACAGGTGGTGCATCAGCCAGTCATCTCGGTCATCTCAGTCAGTCGAAACGTGGTACCTGGGTCTGCCCCGTGACCTCCTGCCAGCGGGCGTTCGACACTTCACGTGGCCTCAAGGTGCACGTGGCCTGGCACAAGCGTCGTGGTGACGTCACCGCCACTTAGTGGCGAATGGCGGTTGTTGTGTGTGTGTGGGGGGAGCGGTGGTGTAGCGGTTAGCGCTACGCTGCGCTACGAACCCGGCGACCCGGGTTCGATTCCCGCTCACGGCCAACACATCTGAACCTGTCCTGGGTCTCCCCTAGGTCGACTCAGCCTCCAATTAATACCTGGTGCGGTTTGTAAACGTCGCCACCGGGGAGACGAAGGCAGTCGGGCGTGGTTGTGGCCACCCACCTCCTCGTGTGCCACAGTGCCGGCCTTCATAGTTGCTCACTAACAGCACTGGCCCCAACAGTCTGTTAAGGCTATACGGGGGATCTTTGTCTTTATGTGCTGGTGGGGGCAGCGGGCGTGAGAAACGGCAGGCATGCGCAGACGCCCAAATCGCCCGGTTAAGAATATTTAACGCCACGTGTAGAACACGTGGCGTCACCCACCCCTCCCTCCAGTGTCTCACACGGGGTCCATGCGTTTCGTGAGCTCTCTGCACCACGAACCACTAGAAACAAAATAACATCAACAATATATGGTTCCTCTTCATGGTACCCCCCCCCCCCACTACCAAGCCCCCCACAAATTGAACTCACACCACCCCCCCCTGCAAAGGCCATATATATACGAGCAAGGGGGCAATAGCTTCCCCCGTGATAATATTATCATTCGCGGATTTTTATTTTGCGAAATGCGTTTATTCACGAGTTTATTATTGTGTGAGCATGCACAGTTAAAACCTCTTCTTTCGTGCACGTTTCTTTCGTGAAATTCTATCATTCGTGGTTTGGAATCTGGACACCAATTCAAGTTCCCGCGCCTTTGGCCCCCTCGATTCTCTCGCGATTTGGCAACGCGGCATCGTGGCAAGACGGGGGGGCATCTCGCGCAGCGGTGTATTGTGGGGCCCGTGCGTGTGCATCCAAGCCACGGTGGCTAGATGTTAACTACCTCGCACAGTATGGAGGAGGCCGTGGGTTCGATCCCGACCCTGACGCCTGCTGCTGTATATTTGGAGTTTGCGGTGTCTCTCTCATCACCATCATCATCACGGTGGCAAGGAGATGTTAACTACCTCGCCTGGTATACAGGAGGCTGTGGGTTCGATCTCGATCTTGACACCTGCTGTATATTTGGAGTTTGCGGTGTCTCTCTTTCATCATCATCACGGTGGCTAGGATATGTTAACTACAGTGTACCTCGCCCGGTATACAGGAGGCCGTGGGTTCGATCTCGACCCTGACGCCTGCTGCTGTGTATTTGGAGTTTGCGTGTTCTCCCGCCACATTTAGAATCAGCATCACGCCTTTAAAAGTATTTGGCTGCTATGCATTTCCACGTGGATGAGCAACTTCGTTGAGCTTTCAATTGTGATATTGAAAAAAAGAGCTGTTATAGCTCAGTGGGCCTTACCTGGTAAAGTAAAACTTTTTTTTTCAATAGTTTAAATTACATCACACGGACTCGCCGCGCGCACCCACAGCGTGAATGTGCACGCGCGTCCCCCTGCGCCTGAGCGTCCACTCGTCGAGGACGCGCCACGCGCCGTCGCACTCCCCGTGGGGCCCACCAAACCATCTCGACCTGGACGATGTCGGAGAACCTTTCTCGAACGTCAACCGACTCGGGTTGCGTTCAACTCCTCGCCCTGCCTCGGAACGTTGGGACTTGCACGTTCGCCGCATTGGCAGCTGCGTTGGGGACTCGATTTTCCCCTCCAATACACCAGGGGATGCAAACAGCCGAGGCAAGTTGCGTAATTCACGACCGCTGTCCAACAGCGAACAGCCCCATTTGGCCGGACAAGCTCGTCGCTCAAATCCTTTCATCAAAAAAACTATCGCAGGTTGCAGGGACCCTTTGAGTCACTCGCCCAATATCTGTGTGCAAATAAATCCTGGATTCATAACAAGCAGCGGAACAATATGCATTGTTCCGATGCAAAGAGCAGATCAATCGGCCTCAGATGGGCACGAATTATAATGGTGCACGTGCACTGACACCATGAGGCTTAACTCGGGCTCTTTCCCTTTGTGTGCGCACGTGTGAATGTCATTGTGTGCGTGTTAGTGTGTGTGTTAGTGGGGAACGGTAGTGTAGTGGTCAGCGCTACGCTGCGCTACAAACCCGGCCACCCGAGTTCGATTCCCGCTACACGGCCAACACCGGTGACGATTATCTGAACCGGTCATGTGCCTCCCCTAGGTCGACTCAGCTTCAGATGAGTACCTGGTGCGATGTGTAAACATCGCCACTGGGAAGACAAAGGTGGTCGTGCGTGGTGCTGGCCACCCACCCCCCTCGTGTGCCGTGCCGGACTTTATAGGTGCTCGCTAACAGCACTTGCCCCTACAGTCTGTTCAGGCTATACGGGGGGAGGGATCTTGTTCTTCGTACGTGTCAATTAACAACAACGAGCGGAGCGCCGGGCAGCTAAATCACAGCGAGTTGGCACAGTGGGAAGCTCAGGTGGCGCATCTGCGAGTCATCTCGTTTTGTCAACCCATGGCACCTGCAGTGCCGGATTATCCTGGTCGCAAAAGTATCACATGCTACGGGCCTCGCACTTTCACGGGCCCCGCGCTAAATGCTTTGAAGCGATCAATCCGGTTCAGCGATTCTGCACTTGCTCTATTACTATAGTACTATATCGCCTTCAACGTTTACGAACGACTGGGTGTTTAAAGTTAGCGATTTGTCGTATTATCCGGCTGTATAGCAAATAAAAAAAAATATACAATTACGTTACTATGCAATTAAAAAATAACTGTTTAATATTGATGTTTTATTTTTATTTAGGGCCCCTTAGTACCATATGTTACAGGCCCCGCACTAGCTTAATCCGGCACTGATCACCTGGCTGGGTTTGTCCCGTGATCTCCTGCCAGCAGGCAGCCTTTGACACTTCACGTGACGGCCTTAACGTGCACCTTGCCTGGACCCAACACTGTGGCCACATCGACAACACTCGATGTGTGTGCGGAAAGTAATTGGTGTGTTGAAGTCTGAAAGTACAATTACGCCAAGAGAACGTTTGGAGTTTAACGTTTTGACTACGCCGATAATTATTAATTCTGCTCATGCGGTAGTTTTTTTTTTATTTCCCGCTGACCGTTTACTGCCACTCGCGCTAATTCGATTCCGTTTTGACGCTTTGCTTCGTCGTAACGGCCCACGTGCTCAGCACGCACGCGAGCGGCTACAAATACAAATATTACAAATACTACAAATATTACAAATACTACAAATATTACAAATACCACAAATATTACAAATACCACAAATATTACAAATACCGCAAGCACTGCATCCCAGCGAGATTCCCATCGCGCAGTCGTCACCGTCCTCTCCCATCCATGCGACCAACAGGGCCACGTGGCACAGCGCCGGGAACAACGCCGGGCCATGGACGCGTACCGACAGCGGGCGACGGGACTCGCGCGGGCAGCCCCGCTCACGCCGCCGGTGACGGTCGCTGCCTCCCGACGCGTCATCGTTTCCGGGAAGCAGCGCGTGTGCCCCCCCCCCCCCCCACAGAGTCCTGCGCTGGGGGGGGGGGGGCGGTGATTGATGCGGTGAGTTTCAAGCGGTGGCGGCGGCGGTGATGCACCGATGAGGTCCACATCAGCTGCCATTAGTCACCACTGCCCGGGAAGAGTCAACTGCGGGGTGGTGCTGCGCATTTCCCGTCAGCGCGACGAGGTTCCCGCCACTGTCTCTAATTGGAACGTCATTTGTATTCTTCTTCTTAAGACATCGCTGCGTTAAGAGTGACGGGCAGAGAGAGAGAGAGATAGGTCATATTGTGGCCGCGGGCGTCGTGTGGGTCGATGGGTTCGCGGCACCGTCTTCGACACTTCACCGCGGCCTCAACGTTGGCGGTGCTGCCATCTACATCTACAGGAGATTATACAACTTTTAAAGCCATTCACTTTGTTTAGTCTGCACGTCGTACAACACGTTTGGAAACGACAGGAGTAAAGTTTGACTTACGAAGAAATCGACTTACGAACAAACCTCTGGAACCTAACTCGTTCGTAAGTAGAGGAGTCCCAGTATAGAAATGTTGCTGCGATCACATCCTGCATATATGAGCTACGTCAAACCAATAATTATTGCAATGGATTTGGTGGCGAGTTCGTGAAGCTGTCTTCATCATCATCCACGGTCAATCCACTGCTGGATAGAGGCCTCTCCAGGCCACCGCCGTCTGCAAAGTAATAATCCACGCAGCACCTACTGCATGAGCTGCTTTCATCGCTCCATCTCTTCGGTGGACGTATTCATGGAGCTGTACCCGGTACAGAAACAAAGGTCCATAAGAGTTTTTTTTGGGTTAGATCGCAGAAATATATAAAAGTGTCGTTAAACCCGCCACCACCCGACACAGCCAATTAGTAAAGTTTGTCACGTAAACAGATCGTGGCCAATTCGTCACTAGTCCAGCACGCCGGTGTGTTGTAGAGCAAAGCCACAGCATTTACAATCCGAGTACGACGTTTCGCCAGTAATTACAAGTAGCTTCATCAGGCGACAGCCAAATCTGTCTGTTCTATTTACGTGAAAAGCCTTACTAGTTGGCTGTGTCGGGTGGTGGCGGGTTTGAAGACACATTGATATATTTACGTGATCTAACCCAAAAAAAACTCTCACGGATATTGGTCACGAAAGCCGGCGACTTGTTAAACTGAAACAAAGATGTCCACAGACGGGTGTATTGCATTGGAAATGCGTTTTATTGTTTGATAACATGCCTAATTCTTGACTGTACATACTTTAGCCCAAAACTCACCAGCGAACAGAACGTATAATCCACCGAAGTCAACCTGCAGATCAATCAAGCTTATGCTACTTACAATATATATACAGGAAGACACACAGGCACGCGCTGTTAAATTACATCATTCAGCCTGTCAGTGCTAATAGTTTAATTAAATATACTTCGACATCATTATAATATTTTAAACTCTATTTCTGCAGCAGTAGGAAACGTTGCAACATTATAATTTTCAGTGTCCAAGAAAGTTTCTGCTCAATAAATGCCTTAAATAAAATAATCCCCCCCCTCCCCAACCCGTTCCCAACTCCTGGAAACCACATCTATGTACATAAAAAATACGGACTCTATATAATTCATTATACATTGACTCTCTCAGCAATAAGTTAGTTTTACAAATACCGTATTCAGGAAACGGATTGGTACAGCAGCTGTTTACTAAAAAGAAGTGTTGTACAGTATTCTACAGCCAACGGGACAACTTCACCCCCCCTCAGCCCCTTTTCCCTGTGGTGTGGCCATTCTGCACCGAAATCTCCACGTTCAGTAACGCGGCCAGCAACAGCCGCAGAGAGCCCCCCCCCCCCCCCCGTGACACGTCTTGGTGGAGTCACCCAAACTCGTGCGAGTCCACCCTGGCCCATCGCGAAGGCAAGGTGGCTTGGTTCGTGCAAAGGTGGCCCCTAGAGGTGGCCTCACCCTGAACCGCTCAGCACGTCGAGGCGGAGGAGAGGGGTGGTTTTGGGGGGGGGAGGGGGGCTTTATGCTTTCAGCTGGGGTCAATCGGTGAATTGGAGGTCAGGCAACAGCAGACCGTCGTACCGAATATCGCGAGGAGTCGCACGGTCACGCGCGTTATTTTTGGGGTATGCGAATGGCCGTGATGCGCGCACGCGCGTCTCTACCGGTGTTGATGTGCATTGATATGTCGTAGTGATGGTTGGTTCACATTCTAGCAATTTAGCAAGCTACGTGTCATACACTCTGCACACGCACGGAGTTTCAGAATTTCTAATGCCTTCCCTGTCACAAAACGTCACATTTCTATTTCCATTTAGAAACAAGTACTGGTATAGCAACTATATAAAATTGACTCTATATATGTAAGCCACCGCAGGTGCAATTAGGGTGAAAATATTAATTTAAACGGCAGGGGTGTGGTGGGTCATTACTAATTTTATATTTTTATTCAGTATATATATTGTTTATACTCTCTCGATATATATTTCTTTATTTATTTATTCGATCGTTCCAACGAAATCCGACAATAAGGCTGTTTAAGACCACGCGTGGGTTATTGGTACCAAGGCAGAATCAATGAACTTGGCTGGCTCGTCCAACCCAGCTGCGAGGTGCAGCCAAAACGATCTCCTGACGAAGGGCGAGCACACCCACCGCCCTCCGGCTCGCTGTGAAATGTGCTGCAGATTGTACTCGTCTTTCGCTTGTTCGTCAACGTGGCGCTTGCATACGAAGCCCGACGCGATGCCCGCCCGCCCGCTCGCAAGAAAACGCCGCGGCAAAGTTCTCGCGCTCGAGTCGCAACGGCGGGCTGTCAAGTTTGCCTTCAATTAAAATCGGGTACAGCCCGCAGACTGGACCGCAGGATAAGAGGACAAAAAGAAAGCCACAATGGCAGGAGGTCATTATGGCCAGTACCACGTTTGGTTCCAAAGCACCCTTGCCATGACGTCCCCTCCTTCCTCTTGCCCGATCACACGGCCGTGGAAACGTTTACAAACCCCCAGCCTCTTGCTGATGTTTACAGTAACCCCCCCCGCCACACACACACCATCTGGCTTTTAAGGTGCTCCCCTCCCAAGGCCATATAGAGACAATTAACCAAGTCCCTTGAAAAGAACAATTTAATCTCAATGGACTTCTACGTGGTTTAAATAGTCGACAGTGCTTGTAAACTGCTGGGACTGACCGCACACGTACCGCACGCACGCCCACCCTGCTGACGGGTTCAGCCGGTATGCGGGGATGTCCCGTCTACACGAGCAATCGTTCATAAATAAAAACGGGTTGACAATATATTATCACATAAAATAATAAATACTGGCATATTCAACATTACAATTGAAAAAAGAATACGGGTTTACAGACCTTAATAGTTTTAATTTAAAAGCTACATAACCTAGCACTAAGAAGCTGTTTTATATAAAAAAAAAACTAAATAGTTCAGTGTCAATTGTTGTAAAATCAATAATAAACATTCAAAGCACATAATGCCATTGGTCCGAGCGTCCGTAAGCATCCCCGCGTGTCTAGTGGGTGGGATCTTATTAATCATCATCACCAGTTAACAATGATATTGACCTCAAATTCAATCAGCCATGTATATATAATTCTGCAGCTTAATAAGATAACATAATTCGAATCCCACTTGCCACTCCAGTTGGGAGCAGCATCGCTTATAAATATCACCGAAACACCTCGAATATCATTATTTTAACTTAAGACTCCTGCACTGGAAATGTTATTGAACCCCGCTCGTCACGTGAATGTGCAGCATGGTTAGCGGTGCACTGTGCAGCTGCGTTGCTCAAAGGTGCAGGAGCAGCGAGTCAGGTGATCTCAGACTGGTCACGGCACCGCGCGCGTGCACCACACACACCACGGCGCGTGCACCACACAGCCCCGACACACCGTGCCGTCCAATCGCCCCACGCAGCCTTCGTGAACATTCCCGCCCCCCCCCCCCCCCCCCAGTTCCGACTGACAATCCAAAGGAAGCAATGCTATAGTACGTACCTATAAAAGCCACCATTAGCAAGTAGCAAATAAGGCCGGCGTGGCGCACAAGGGGAGTGTGGCCAGCGCCATAACTGGCTGCTATCGCCCGAGCGGAGCCGGTGTTCTTTTACACGGGTTCCACGTGACGCTGTGCGTGGCCAGGACTCAGAAAGAGATGGGTCGCCAGGAATTGGTGTGCAGCATGCAACTGCGTTGCGCTGCCCTCCGGGTTCCCGTGGCTTACTTTGTCCCAATGCTGCACGGCCACGCGGCTCCAACGACGTCTCGCGTGGTCCGCACAAATAACCCTTCATGCGGTCCAACGCAGAACAGTGATCCGTTCTGTACCACCATGCCAAATCGGTCAGCCTATTACCCTACAGACCAACGCATAGTCCCATCAGCGTACACTACACACCACACCCACCGCATGGGCCAGACTTTGTGCATCCAAAGTGTAAACTGTAGAAAGTCTACTCCAACAGGTGGCGGTGGTGACCATTCATGTTGCTTATAAATTTAGCTTTAGTCTGCTCAATGATCTGTTGCTTGTGGTTGTGTTTTGCGAGTGAATGCAAAGTGAGGTCCAGTGGCACTTTATTAGCACGATTGTTTAAGGGCGCTTTATGAATTGAAATTATTTGTTAGCGTGAATTTAAATTATTTGTTATATTATCAGTGACGACGTCTGCAGGCGACGACCCAGTGACTTCGCGATTACGCCCTTCCACACGCACTCCGGGAATAGCTGACGTTACGTAACAAGATTGAGCTAAATCTATGGAATTACTCTCTGAATTCTGACACAACAACAAATCCCCCCCCCCGACCCCCTCCGCCAAAAAAAAATATATATAAAAAGAGGGTTACGAGCGTGCATGTGAGATAAAATCTACAACAGAATCATGCTGCCGCGTGTAACGTGCACTCTTGGACCGATGCTTGCAAGGCACTGTGGGTATCTGCCACAATGCCCCGCAGCACGAACGCCGTTCACCTCCACGAACACCGCCTCATCGTGCGGAGCAGCAGTGTTTCATTTGTTGGCGAAATGGTTTTGGGGACGATTTGAGGATTTCACGGCGGGGACCAGACGTGAAACTCGGCTTCGATAGCGGCGGCGGCGGCGGTGGCGGCCGTGGTAAGACAAGTCCTGAGATGCGGACAGGGCCAGCAGCTGTAGTCGTGGGTCCTGAGGGTTCCCGCCAGCGGGGAGTGGATGGGTGGGTGGGGGGGGTTGGCCGGTGGCTTGGTCCCAGAGCCCCCGTCGGGCCACCGTGGTGCCACGCTCGCGGCTCCGTGCGTCATTAACCTGCGCGAGAAAAGACGACAGAGCCATCGTTATTAGCCACGGTTATGGCGGCGCGGTTTGCCGCTCGATTGGTTTTTTTCCCCTCCCGCACCTCCTGGTTGGCACTTGTGGCCACGTACAGTACGAAAGAAGTTCTGCATACATACATACATGGTAACAAGTCACGAGCTCCGATCAGAACCAAGGCAAGTTCGGCCATCCCGTCAACATCGTCATCATTATCGCCGGCCCTCCAGGGTGAGTAAAATGAGGATCAGCTAATAGGGCTGCATCACCCCGCTTTTGGTTAAAAGTCGTCACACAAGGCTTGCCGTTACAGAGGCTGGACCCTGCCGAGGGAACGTGGAATTTCCACCGATGGCTCGTGAAGACTTTGGCAGCGCGACGGCACTGCGGAGTGAATCACCGCCGCCGCGCGTGGCCGCGGCACGAGAGGGTCCCTGTCGGGGGGTTGGCGCAACAAGAGAAACCGGCCCAACGCTTCCCCCGTGGCGCCGCACGCTGCCGGAGAGCGAACGGCCTTTGACGTCGCTCCAACGGCACAATCACGGGAAAATCAGACGAATAAATAAACCGCGCCGTCCACGCGCCTGCGCTAGGCGGCCCGAGGGTCCTCTCCCCCCTCCCACCCCCCCGTCCAATCCTCTCTCTTAATCTGCACCCGACGCCAACAACAACGCCGGCAACGGCGCCCGCCGCTCCGCCGGCGCTCCGCAACGCCGCGCGACCGCCCAAGCGTCCCCCTCCCGTCGCCGCCGCCGCTTACGCACGTCGCGCGTCACAGCTCCGCACGGCCCGGGACCCCCCTCTGACGCGGGGGGGGGGGGGGGGGGGCGTGCGAGTGCACGAGCGGCCGAGTTCAATTGTTTATCCTCCCTCCGAGGCAGCGGCGCGCGCAATGAGAGCGGCGACCTTGGGGGGCATTGTCGAGCTATTTTGGGAGATTTTTCACGAGGCGCGCCGCACGCGCGGCCTGTTAGGATCGCGAGGATCGCTTGCGCCGAGCGCGCAGGGACGGATTTTCGCGGCGGAGTTGCTGCGACCAGCCGCCGGTTTTAGACGGCGGGAGGCAGTGGCGCGGACGTGGCGGTAAAGTGGTGAGAGGACAAAGCCCCGGTGGTGGTGGCCTGAGAGGACAAAGCCCCGATGGTGGTGGCCTGAGAGGACAAAGCCCCGGTAGTGGTGGCCTGAGAGGACAAAGCCCCGGTGGTGGTGGCCTGAGAGGACAAAGCCCCGATGGTGGTGGCCTGAGAGGACAAAGCCCCGATGGTGGTGGCCTGAGAAATCCAAGGACGAAGCAAAAATGTGCACGATCTCGTCGGTTTGCGGGGGCTCAAGCGGCGGGTGTTGGTCACGGCTGGCACTTGGATGGGGAATGACAGGTACTGTAGGCTTGAGATGCAAAGTACGTATCTATGCAGAGGGTTGAGCGTTACCCCTTCGAATGTGTGGGTTGTCTCTGGGAAATCTATTTTTTTGACGCATGCCAAACACTCATTCGAATGCTACCGGCCAAACGTCCCAACACAGGGACCCTCCCTGAGAAAATAAGTCCCGAGGCTCGGCGCGTCTTAAACAGGGGGGCATTTCCAGCACTGTTAACAGCTGGTACGTTCATTGACGTGATGTTCCAAATATCCACAATCGTAGCGTTTTTGTTGCTTTCCTTTCCCGATGGCTTAGAAGACAAACAAAGTGCAACACAAAAAACCGAATAACAACATTCGTGCCGTGCACGGGTCCTCAACGCTCAACAGAGCTGGCGGACAAGTCGCCAAAACTTTCGAGGAAGCTTAACACGAAGGCTTTTCGCGACCAAAACAAACTCTATTATGGATTTCACGGACGCGTTGTTCCTCCGCGCCGGGTTTGTTTTCACGCTCGGCCCCCACAGCACCCCCCCCCCCCCGCAGCCCCCTAATGAGAGACGATTCCCCCGCCACCTCTCCCCCCTGGCGAGGATTGCCGCGCCTTGTTGACGGCGATGGCTGCCGAGCGCGTGCGTGGAGACCGGCACGCGCGGACAGAGAGCGAGCGTGGTGAGGCGGTGGGGGGACCCGTCTCGAGCGGTCGTTACCCGCGGGTCGCGCCGCGCTGACACTCGTCCAATTGCGGATGTCAATCATGCGAGCGTGCGTGCGTGCGTGCGAGCGTACGTGCGTGCGAGCGTACGTGCGTGCGTGCGAGCGTACGTGCGTGCGTGCGTACAGGCGCACACATGTGCAGGTGTTAACACACCGCGCCAGCTCCCGGTGGCCCTCAACGATGCCGTGAATCGCGCCGTCATGCCAGCGTGGTGCCTAACCATCCGGTTTAATATTCCTGTGGATTTTTATTTTTTATTTATTTGCTTTAAGCCACATGATCACCGATCTCTTGTTTCGAAATCGCAAATCCCATGATCTCCATGGGTTGCTAGACGTGTCTGTTCTTTGCTGTGAAATCGTGATCAGATTTGTTACGCGTGACGTTTAAAATCCTACACGAAACATTCACTCTTACTCAAAAGGAAAAGCCAGAGTAAGTTTAAAACCAAGTTAATTTGTTTTCTTTATTTTTTTTTGCGACAGCAAATTGGAGATCATGTTGAGACCGTAAATTCAAGTGAGAATTGGATGCATTCCTACGTTTCTCGACAGGAGTCTAACTCGGGCTCTCAAGCGGTGTTGGGTCAATAAGGCTGACGCAGTTTTAAGCCTTCGAGCCACCTGGCCCACAACAAAGCATTAGAGCTTTTGGTGTGGATTAGAACCCAGGTGCTTGGCAGTGATGGGTCACAGATAAAGCCGACCCTCGGTCACGTAGCCATCTCGTCAGGGCGACCTCCACTTAGCTAAGCTGAAGCAGAAACGGATATTTGGTTGCACGTTAACCCTTTCCCGCTGCGAGACGTCTGCAAGTTGCAGAATGTCGGAGCACGCGAGGTGGCTCCGCGTTCATTTTATTTAGAGAGGCGTAGCAGCAGCGCCGTCGTTTTTAAAGACGTCGGCGCTCACCGCGGAGAAGCGCGGCGACTCGACCGCCGCAGTCTACGATAGCCGGCGCCAAACTGTGCCGCGCGCCCTCACGCATGGCCTCGCGGGCGCCTCGGTAGCGATGAAGTTATTTTTTTTATTTTATCACGCGTGCGTCATCGGGACGGAATCGGAAGGGAAAGAGGCGACGTGCACGTACGGAATGGGAAAGGGTTAAGATTCTACCGCTGCTGGCAATGCCATGCCGTGTGGCCCGCTCTCCCGAGTGCGTTGGGTTTGCCGTCGCGTGTTGCTCGGCAGGACGTCCAACATTTCGCTCCGCGTGCCACGAGCTTCTCCCGGAAGCGAGCTCAAGCCCCCGGCACGCGCAGCGAACCGTCGGCTTCCGTGCCGATCCGCGCACGGCACAACCCAAAGACCCCCGCGGTGGGGTTAACCAGCCACTAGTTTAACACGAGGAAGCAAATTATTTCATTGCCCATTTTCTGAGAGGTCAATAACGTACATCGTGGTATTCATAATTAGCTTGCAGTAATTGTCATAATTTACTACCGCTGCGATGGTGAATTACCATGCAAAAATGTATAAGTCTGAATATTAATAATGAACTAGAGTCAAATTAACGCAGATTAGTAGCTTCTGGGTTGTAGTGTGAGCTCACACGTGTGTGCATGTGTTTGTGAGCCAGCGAGGTCACGGTGGCTCACACAACTGCTATATAATCCCCGCCTGCCTGTGTTCAATTTCTGGCTGCAGGGCAAAGCACTAAGCGGCATTTGGTATATCAACTGGACATGAGCCTCCCCTCTGTATCGACTCGTCCTAAAATGAGCACAGAGTGAGAACATTGCCTGTGACACATCACCACGAGTGGGCCCGGTCGCGTCAGATCTCAGGAGACAAGCAGGCCTCGGCCTGACTAACGCTTGGATCGGAGACTGCCGAGGAAAATCAGGAGCCGTACTCTTGGATTCCGAGGTGGCTACAAGGTGCCAGGACTCGTTAGGGGACATCAATGTATTTTGAATCTATCCGTGCGGAGTTTTTAAGTAACTACCCCTTCATATGCAGTGGATTTCCTCGGGGTAATCAAATGCATTCCCTTGTGCCAAACCACTCATTAATGGGATTGGACATATATCCCTCGCTGGGTTCTTCAAGGAGAGTCTTGCGACTCGGCGAGGCTTTCTGTGGTAAACAAAGGAGATGACGATTATTATGATTGTACGTATTAAGCCTTGGGTACACATGCTTGCATGCTGGAGCGGGCCAAATAGGTATCCGCTAAAGGCACTTGCTCAGGCAGCCTGTATTCCTAAACGGGAGATATTTCTCATTGCATGTGTGAGAGAGAGAGAGAGACGTATTTTGATGCCAATCCCCCCCCCTCTCACTGTAAATTGATTCTCTTTTATCTTGTGTCTAACCAGTTTTATTACTGCGGATATTGGATGGCGAGGTGTTCCAGCAATCCTCTCTTGCCACTGGAGCCGGTCCACATGGTATTGACTGTTTGACCTCCTGATCTAAAGCTTAAATGAGCAAATTATTGTACTATCCTTGCAGAGAAATTGTAAACGACACCCCGCTCCCTTCGTAAACAAGGAACCCAGGGTCCTCTCTTGCCTACGCTATAACGTTTCCACGGAACTTTCACCTGGTCAAAAGCACCGACTGGACATTCCGCATGGTCTTGTTGCGGTCCGTAGCATCCCATATTCAGGCATCTCTTAGTTCGGCACGTAACAAATGGATTGCTACGCTCACGGCGCGTGCGTCGAATGGTTCGTTGCGAGTATTGATTTTTACACGTCATGCAAATAATGTACGGACAAGACTGCACAAATGAGAGGCGGTCAAAGCGTGAGAAGCGAAAGTAAACGAGATGTAAAAAATGGGGCAAAACTAATAATCTATTTAACAAGCGCGTGTGTGTGTGTGTGCGTGCCTTCCCGATTCATAACAGATTTTTGGGTCGGATCGCCGCGTGAGTAAAATGTGTGTCGTCCACCCTCCTCCACCCGA